AACAGCGGTATGTTGACAAAATGACTTCACTGTTTTTTTTTCTCAAGGTCAGCATAGTTTCGAAGGAAAAATCGAGAACATCGCTTGAGAGCAGAGAAGAAGACGCAACGCTATTTTTTAGGTTGCACACAACTATTAGTGAACCACTCGGATATATTCCATTTCCTTTTAAGCGAAGACACGATTGCCGCAATCAAACATGAGGAATGTGTTCCGGTATCGCACTGCATTTTGACGTTTCCTTATCGATGGGAGATGGCAATAGATCTAAGTTTAAAAGCTACAGAAAATTGCGAGCAAATGCAAATAAAATCATCGCCGATAATTTGTAGTGCCGGCTCCACAGAGTTCTATCACTCAGTCATGCAATGTTTCCAATAAAAAGCAGGAACCTTTCAAGCTCTATGAGTGTACCAGAGAATATGCCATTCACCCTCATGAACATCAAAGGAAACTTGAGATCCCTAACTGAACAATAGAATATTAGTTAGTCAATGGTACGCTTTGCAAACAGCAAAATTTCGACGGTACTGGGTACTCCTGCACATTTCAGAAGTTAAATTGCAGAAAATTATCGTAAAATGCGAAGGAAGACAAAAACTAGTGAAATGGCCTTTTATCTTTCGGTACCTTGGGTCAGGGCTGTTTCATAATAAATGGTTTTAGTGAATATTGTCGCGCATCATGGTAATGATGGAGGCAGCAAGTCTATCAGCCAGACAGTTCACAGAGAGCCTGGATTGATGATTCAACTATAACTTAGAATCTGGCCGCTACCCATGACGGATATCAGAAGCTTGAAGAAGGACGTATGTTCCACTGGTCTCGCAACTATATCCCTCACTGTGAGGCTGGAATTTCAATTCAGCTGTCTCTCCGAGCGGCATATACTCCGCTATCCATTGAATACAACAGCGGTCCTCTCATCATTTGCAGATTTGTATCGAGGCACACTAAGAATCGCCGACGGGACGAAAATCGCAACAAGGGTACTGAAACGGGTCATCAGTTGTACAGTAAAATTAGTTGACTGATTTGCATAGTGCTGTTTCTGATTGGACGACATTAGCATTGACTAATAGCACATTACCCTCATTTTCGGGAAAGGAGTAAATAACCTCAGCAATATCTTTAGCATTTGAGAAAAACAGCAACAGGGATACACCTTTTAGTGATTATCAGCGGAATCATTTAGAGTCAAGGTAAATTGCAGCCGTCTGAGAGGGAGACATTAGCAATCGATAAATCGCATCAAACACCGCCTCCGGCTATAACTTTTTCTAATTCTGGTATGACAATATCAGTGCATCATTCTGACCTTGCTGTTCATATGTCAGTGAC